CTACCCTTCCGCCCACCCATCCATCCATCTACCCATCCACCCACTCATTCCATCCATCCACCCACCCACCCATCCATCCATCTACCCACTCATCCTTGCACCCTTGTACCCACCCACCCATTCACCCATCTAACCCATGCGTCCAGCCACCCACCCACTTCCATTTATCAGACACCTGTTGGGCACCTGCCAGGTACCAGCCATGTTCTCAGAGCTTTTGTGAACTGTGGGTGATAAATGCAAGCTGTAACTTCCACTCTAAATAGTGAGGGCTTGAGGATACACTGCCTCCTTCCCTGTTACCCTTATGGTGGGGGAGTATTTTTAAAGAGGAAAATAACCTATGACCCAGAGATTCCAATCCTAGGAACTAAGGCAAGGCATGTAAACAATTCACCCATAAAGTATCACAATAGGTATTCAAATAGGTCCCCAGACACCCATGCTCACAGCAGCATTATTCACAATGTCCAAGAGGTGGGAACCACCCAAAGGTCCATCAGCGCATGAATGGATAAACAAATTGTGGCCTGTCCATACACTGGGATATTATTCAGCTATGGAAGGGAATGAAGAACAGACCCATGCTACCACCTGGATAAGCCCACACTGCCAACCACCGTTTGGCATTCTGGCTCACTGCCATGGCAGCCAAGAGTCCCACCATGTGAGCTAGGAAAAGCATGCAGTTCTATTTTATGCTGATCTCATCAAGATGTATCAACAGCAGACAAACACAAGGGAACAAGAACCACAGGTCTCATGAATGTTATCAAACATTTGATGTCCTCCTGGCAGAAGATCCTTGGGTCCCAACCAGATGGATATAAACTGATGTCATGATGATTTTATCAATGGCTAACGTCCAGGTAATGTTTACTATAGGTCAGATACAAGGCAAAGAAACTGCATGCTCTCACTCCTTTTGTGCCCACAAGAACCCTATGAATGATGTTCTATTAATTCCCATCTGAAGCTGAGAAACCCAAAGCCCTGAGGTCACCTGTCTGGCATCCACAGTCACACAGCAGGTGAGGTGGGGCCAGCTCAATGCAGCCTGTGCAATATCAATCACTTATACGACCTGCCTGGGCTCAAAAGGAAGAAAAGGAGCATGGGCAAGCATGCCGAACGTTGGAACTACGTCATTAGAGACGGTGCCCAAGAAAGGATAATTAGGGGCTGTGCCAGGTGTTGAGCTCCCTGGCCCAGAGCCCATCCTGCCACATGCACATCTATCTATCGACACACTATCCCAATCCATCAATCATTCATCAACTGTATATCCATCCATCACCCACCCACCACCCACCATCCATCTGCCCTCCATCCATCATCTATCATCCATCCATCCATCATCCATTAATAGCAACTATTGAGAACCTACTAAGTGCCAGCCCCTCCCTGCATCACACACAGGGATGAAGCCGTGGCCCAGAACCACTGCCTGGCAGTGTCCACACTCTACCTAACACTTTGCACTTGCCTTACGCCCATGGGTAAGATCACATGCACACCCAGACCGCGTATTCATCTGGTCGTCATTGATGCCTCTTACGTCCCACTGTCCCTTTCTAAAGACCTGAGACTAGCCCTGTTCCTGTACCCGCCCCCCCCCCACACTCTCCCATGGTCCAACTAAAGGCATGTTCTGCTCCTGAAGACAGAGCCATGAGTGAAGCAACAGAACACGTACCCGTGAGCTTGACCCAAAGGAGGTGGTGCTCATTCGGCACATGTCAAAACAGTGGGCCCAAGCAAGGAAGCCACGCCCTCCTTGACCTTCAGTTGATAAAGGTGTGTGAACCCCTCCTCTGTGCTGGATCCTGGACTATGCTGGACAGTGGGAGGCTGGCAGGGTGTGCCGCTCAAAGTCACTAAACGTCCTCCCTGGCTCCCAGAAGGCTCTGTGGGAAAACTGGCCCAGATACGGGGCATGGGGGGAATGACTCAGTGGCAGAACTGGGTGACAGTCCTAGAGTCCGGAAGAGGCCCATCCTACCTGATGCCTGAGACATGGGTCCAAATATGTGATCCCCACCCCCCACCCCCCCGCTTCAGTCTGAAAAACCTAAGGACCAGCATGGAGCTCAGAACTCCCCCAAGCTGACCTGTCTCCGTGCAGAGGGCTCCCCTCCCCAAGTTCAGTTGTCCCCCCTTTCACAGAGCTGCCCACCTGCTCCTTCTCCCTCCCTCTCCCTCCTCTTCGTCCCTCTCTGCCTCTCCCTCTCCTTTTGGATGTCAGAGGCTCCTGGCCCACACTGTAAACTCTCCAACAGACGAGAACCACGTGACAGGAACAGTGAATCAAAACCACACACTTTTATTAAGCAACAGGACTTTGAGTTCGACTTTCATCCAATTCAAATAAAACATTTTCTTCCTTCAACTGGCAGCTTGACATCTGAATGTATGTTCTCCAAATGCAATCTCTGTAAGGAAGAGGGGGCTCGGGGGGCTCTGGGGGTGGCTGGGGCAGCTGGCATCGGTGCACCCCTTGCGTGCACAGTGGCACACGGGTATAACAGCTGTCTGGTAAAGGGCCTGCCCCCCCCAGGAAGCCCAAGTCCTCGGGCCATGGCCACATCCGGCACATCCGTGTCCCTGCACCCCAGGGCGCCCAGCCCAGAACCAGGCTTCACAGGCCCCGCACGGGGGTCCATGCAGCCCCCCGACACCAGGCAGGGAGCAAGGCTAAAGGCTAGGGCACGAATACCCACGCACAGACGCAGGGGCCAGGTGCTTCCTAGGGACTCACCCGGGGCTCTGGAATCCGAGCACACGGTTGGTGCCAACCTGGCCCTCGGCCAGCCCCGGTTCCCTACCTGCCTCGCCCACTCCCCACATTGTAGCAGAGGGCCCCGCCGTAGGGTCCCTGCAAGCACGAAGGCCCCTTCGTTCCCAGGGCCCGCCCTCCTCCGCAGACACCTACACTTGGTTAAAACCAGTTTGCCCACAACCCCCCGAGTGGGTTTCCACACCAAAAAAGGTGCCCCTCTGTGCTGTGGGTGCACGTCTCAAAGGGCAGGAATCCACCAATCCCCTGCCCCACTGTGAGAAGGGGACACTGAGGCACGGGTGTCAAGGTTCACACTCTGAGCCTCACAGGAGCTGGGTCAGGTCTGGGCCCGGGTCCTCATCCAGAGCTCCTTCCAACCCGCTGTGACCTCTTCCCTGCACACGTGACGGTTTGTTTCTCAGGTGGGGAGGGCGCCAATACCCGTGTGCCCTTTGCGGAGATCCTGGCCCCCAGTGAACTTACTCCTGCTGAGACCAGACACAACCTCAGAATCTTTCTCCACCCGGAGCTCCCAGCAGCCACCACCCAACGACTGGGCGCCGGCCTGCCCCTTGACTGGCCCTACTCCGGTCCATAGTGTCTTTCAGATGTAACGCAAACGATCACGACTTTGTGATGGTTGTGAGAGCATTTTCACGACACCTGCTGTGATGGGAAACCCTGAGATTCACTCCGTGTGCCCCCCTTTCCTGGCAAAGCCTTTCTCGGCAGCTGCTGGTGGGAGATGCTGGGGGGCCTGGATCAGAGGCCCCAGCTGCCCACAGCCTCAGCCCCTCGGGGGCCAGGCTGGGCCTTTTGGAAGCTGACCACCAGCTCTGTGAGGCTGGCCACAGGTCAGAGCTGCCGGTGGGTTCCCTGACCCTCCGGAAGCATGGAGGGCACCCCAGGATCTTTCCCATCCAGCTGCCCTCTCAGGTGGGGGAACCCTGACC